ACAGTAATATCTTCAATACTACCTTCATTCAGGACTTACAGGCAAGCTGGGTGAAATTAGCAAGTCAGAGCTAGGATTCACTGGCCAGCAATGTGTGTGTCTTTGTGTATGTGTGTGATGATTATGTATTTATTCACTGGAAGGGATACACAATTGCACTTTCTTACTTTGACCTAAAGATTAATCTTGTTCAGTCAGCATTTATGGAGGGTGAATGTCTATCAGGAAGAACTGCTTTATCCATGGATACTCCATTGCTTCAGAATCCTGATTTTTCCAAATTTTCACTTGCATGCCAATTTCCATTACGTAAATTTTCTCTCTCTGCCTGGAAGATGAGAGGAGACAGATAGAGCTAGTATTTCTGACCCTCTTGAAGTAATGGTAGTGGTTTTACCTACTTTCCTGCTTCTATTCCAAACACTTTTTCATTATTTGCATCTCTTGCCCATTCACTCTCCTTTGACACAGATTTCCTTTATTACCTTATTCTCAATTGATATAAGCTGCCCTCCAATTTACAGTAATCAATGTATGTTTGTTGAGAGGGAAAAATTAACTCTTTTTAAGATATAACACCAAGATATATACAAGTTGACTACTAATTTGCTAAATGTGTTAGATTTAGTGTTGCCAGATTCCATCTTAATTCTCTAAATGATATACTTTCTTGCTCAGAGAAGAAGATGGAAATCTGGGGATGGGATGAAAAACAGTAAGAGTCATTTTGGAAATTACACTTGCTGGTTTTTAGGAAAGGCCTTCTGGAATGCTTACATAAATATGGACTGATATTTAACTGATTTAGCTGATTTAAAAATACCCTTTTATAAGGTTCTGTCTTTACAGCTTTAATTCTATATAATTCTGACATTATTTTAATGATTGCATGTGCTGATTCCTCATCTCTGGATTCATTTTCAGCACTGTAATTCTAACCCTGGAATAGTGGTCCAAGCAACACAGTGTTTTTCATGAACAGAGATTTTTTCCATAGGTTTACTTCTGGATTGGTAAAGATGCAAATGAGGCTGAGAAAGAAGCAGCAGCCGTCACTGCACAAGAGTATCTGCGGACTCATCCAGGTGGTCGGGACCTTGATACCCCAATTGTGATTGTGAAACAAGGCAATGAACCTCCAACATTCACTGGCTGGTTCCTAGCATGGGATCCTCTCAAAGGGACAGTAAGTGATAAAAGGAAGTTCTTCTGACTTGGAAAAGGTAGCGGCCAGTACTCTATGTGACTTAAAATGATCTATTCCTTTACTAAAGTAGTTTAGAGAGAGATGGGTAGAAAGAGAACTCCTTTCATCTAGTCATTTTTCTTGCATAGGATTTTACAAGGATGAACCTTTATGAATGTTCATGAAAAGAATCCCAGCTCGCAACAGCCAGAATCTCAGAGTAGACAACATTCTTTTTTCAGAATGTCTGTTCTCACTATCATACAGAATTTACTTTCATTGTCCAAACTTTCAAAGTGTTTACACAGTAAAAACAAAATTTTGTCTGCCTCCACGCAGGAAAAGAAAACCTATGAAGAGCTGAAAGCTGAACTTGCTGATGATGACAGCCTTGGCCAGATCACTTCTGTAAGTATGGCTGATAAGACAAGCAGGAATGTAGGGTGTTAACAGCAAGATACTGTATAACTTTCTACTGTGAAGAGAATAGGAAACTCTGTTTCAAGTTATTTCAGTCTGTGAAAAGAAGTTAAGGCTCCATTTACCTGTTCCTGAAATAGAATATCTACTTTCATTTGAAAAGAAAAAGAAATAAGTGAAGGAACATGAAAAGAATTTCTTTCTTAAAGACCAATGCAAAAATCCTTGGCACTTTCTTACTTACAATATCTCCACATTTGGAATTTCCTCTTACAGTATACAATGAACAAGGAATCTTGGACAATCTTAAAAATTAACATTAGGCATAAACTTTAATGGACTAAAAACTCCTAAGAGTATATTATTCCATCTGAGGCGTCAGATATGTATTACATTCATACATTTGTGGGTATGCATATGCCACTTTAGAGGGACAGTGAAAAGGTAGCAGGGAAGTCAGAGTGAAATGGAAGAAAATGTAGAAATTGCAGCTGTGACAATTGTATATTAAATGCATACAAATTTCCCATCACTATTCAAGCAATATTGATGGTTACACAAACAGTCAGGGACTTTATTCCTAAACCTAAAATGACCATTCTTGAATAAAGATAGTCCTTCTTTACCAACTACACTTGGAACTGGCAACTCAGTCATTATGAGAAGTGGTTGCTAAGTGAAACTGCAACTATGCTTATGATCTTCCTAAAGCTTTTGTTGGCTTTACAGACCTGTGAAGGTCATAAATGTGAGGATTAGTTGCAAAGTCACTTTTTCATCACTGTCATAACTGCAAACAGTCACGAAATGAGGCAGTTGCTAAACAAGGACTACCTGTAAAGGAAATTCAAAACAAGATTCAGGCATGAAATAATTCAGTTATAATTGGTTAAGGATTCCAACTCTATGTTCCATGGCCTAGGTGTTGATAAAATACATGAAGCTCTGAATGGTCATAGCAATGATTTTGCATTTATAACTTATAATGTATCAGGATCTGTAATTCATGTATTTCATTTTCCTTGATCTCACTATTTACACACAGATTCCAAGGTGCCACAACTCTTTAGCACAAAACTGCCTTTGTATGATGTGTTAAATACCACTTTTTAAAAAAGTGATATTTTAAATTACTCTCACAAAAGGCTCCCCAACCACAGCACATTCGTCATTTACACTGCAGTGTCCCTTCTCAAGTACACAACCCTCTTATCTACAGTCTCAAAGAGAATTGACTTAGAAAAGTCCAGCCTGTAACTTCTTGTTATCTTTCCTCAAATTTCCTTTAAACAAGTACAGAATAGCCAGGCCTTGGAATAGCTTTGGGGGCTTCCCCTTTTCTCTTTCAGGAAATCTTGGAAGGAAAAGATACTTTTACTGCCAAGACAGGTTTTGGCAAGTTGTCATTATCTACATACCCCTTGGAGAAATTGGTGAATGTCACTTCAGAAGACCTACCCAAGGATGTAGATCCCAGCCGGAAGGAGGTGAGAGATCCGAAGGCCGTGGTCAGAGTTTCCGTGGGGGTGGGGTGGGGTCCTCTGTTTCAAGAGTAGTTGATGGTGTTTGCTGAAAATCCAGGATAAAAGCCAATTGGTCGTTACTAAATGGCTTTGGGCACTTTCTTTAATTTAGTTGGTATGAAGTTAAAACACTAAGATGAATAAAACAGAAATGAAACAAAATGAATATAGGCCAACTCAGAAAAGAATATTCTCACTTTAGCTTGGTGTATATGCAAACATTTTATCATTTGTTGTGATTTTAATAATGCCTGGAAACACAAATTTGGTAAGTGCATCTTACCAAGAACTATGTAAAAATGTACCATAATAAAAATACTGCTTGTCTCTGGGGGGGGGGGGGGAATGCTTATATTTAAGGATCCACTCCATTTAATTTTCTCACTGCTATTCAATTGTGTAGTAATACAACACTCACTGTATTATATGGTTGGAAAAACAGCATCTCACCTCCTAGTGTGTAATGTGCCAACTTCATTTCTAGTCTAGAAACATTCACTAGATCATATACCCCATATAGTACTCTAGTCACCACAAAGGCTAGGGTGTATATATAGAGTACAGCTCATTCTACACCAAATCCAGCTACGTCCAAATGCACAATCAAGACCTATGTGCTAAGCCAAGCAGCATGAGCGACTAGTCCTCAAAGATGTAAACATGAAAGCTTGCTCTTACGTGAAAGCACTTTCCAAAGATTGTAGGGGATGAATGGAAACCATGATACCTGTCGATCTATTTGTGTTTCAAAGCCATTTGTCATCAGTCCCAATTCCTCTACAGCAGAATTGGACAATGAAGCTGCTGTTTGTAATCCTAGTCACTCATTCTGTGCTTTTCTTCCATTCCACAGCTCTACTTGTCAGGCGAAGACTTTTTGGAGGTCTTTGGAATGTCCCAAAAGGATTTTGCTGCACTGGCTTCATGGAAACAAATGTCTCTCAAGAAGGAAAAAGGACTCTTCTAAATGGAAATATTCCTGCCATTATTTTCAGCCAGTTGCAGACTTGGATTTAAAAAAAAAAAAAAAAAGCTTGATAACAGGAGCATTGTTTTCTACCACTAGCAGTTTTCCAGGGACAAAAGTGATTCCTTTTTAAACACTAGATGATCTTAGGGCAGACCCAGACAGCTGCATTAACATACCTTCCTCCAGTCATGAAGCTGCCCAAAACTATGTTGGCATTATTTACTTTCCCAGCAGCCAAGCTCCAGTCTGACTTGATGACAAAGGTGGCAAGTGGGGCTATCCTGACAGCTTTATTGTGGAACAGATGAAGGAAAGCCGTTGATGGATGTCCTGCTTTCCCTAATATGAGGTTGAGCTGGAGTGGGTTTTGACTGATGGTGAGGCCCATGCATTTTGTCATCAATCAGAACCTGATCTGCTGGGTGAGAACTTTCCAACTACCTTCTTTTTATAGGGAAACCCTCATTCACACCACAGATCAGGTGATGCAGCCCCCCCCCCCATTATCTCTCTTGCTCTATTCATCTCTATTTTGCACATGCTGTAGCACTCTTGCTCACTTGGTCTCTCACTCCTTCTCTTTCCCACACTCTATCACTCCAATTGCTCTCAATTATTTTTTCCAATCTCAGGGGGCTTCCCGATTCAACCAGCACTTTTCTTATCAACTGCCCTTGCAAGATTTTCCTACCTGGAATCTTAAAATCATTTTGGACCAAAATCTCTTGAGATATCAAGCAAGGACATCAAGCTTGCAACCTGGCCAGAAACTATTGAACAACTTAAAAGCAGCTGCTTAAAAATATTTTTTAAAAAAACTTGCTTTGGCAATAGAAGAAAATATAAGTACAACAGATATAGGAGGATTTGGGCCCTCCAAATCTGCCCTAATCTGCTCATAGCTGTCTACATAATTATAGCTAGTTTTCAGCTGCCAATGAAGAAGAGGCCTCCAAAACAGATGGGACTTTCAGGCCCCTGGGATGGAAGTCTTGAGGTGTCCATAAAGCACAGGGGGTCCCAGCTGGAACCATTGCTCTCTGATGAAATGTATCCCAGTGCAAATAAAACATCCTCACACAAAATGAGAAGCTATCCTTGTTTGTAAGCAGCAAGTTACCACACCATTAGCTTACAGCAGCATAAACAGACCTGGGTCAGTTTATCACCAGGGCATTACTGTTGTAAATACAGTTAAGTTAAACTATGTTGAAACATTATATCCAGTACATATTGGCAGAAATAGCCTCTCAATTCCTCAAAGAGAAAGCAAACAGGATTGAGGCTTTGTGACCCACAATAACAATTTTACCTTCAGAGAACGACAGCTTTTGAAACATATGAACCCCACTCCCAATGTACATTTCTTTTCCATAATGAATTTTAGTAGTTTTTAATATACAGCAATGTCTTCTCCAACAGGTTTATGTATTTTAAAACAAACAAAAACAATTTTAAAATTAATAAAAAATGGAATATCTAAGAATGCAAAATTAACGTGAAAAATACCACAATTTTTTAGTGTCAATGTTGTGGAGGAAAAACAGTAATCAAATGGCAGTAAGGACAACAGAAAAGTAACAAGGCACTGCATTGTTCTAGAAAAAAAAATCAGATTCAGCATTAATAAAGAGTGTTTAATTTCTCAGAAATTGATCTACACATTTAAAAAGAAAGAATAAAAGCAGAATTGTGAAGAATAGAAGCACAGGTCTGCTAAAACACAGAAAAATGCTGCTCCACATTGTGTCAAGGGATACAAAGTGATTCCCAACATAAAATCAAGGCATCCTTCTCAATGCACATCCTAAGAAACCTTTGCCACTATTTATTTATTCCCTTCCACCAAGATTTTACAAAGTAACTACTTAAATTAGAAGCAAAGAAGTAGGTTACTGCTGCAGGTGAACAGCAAAGTGTTAAGAACTTCCTTTGATTTTCATTCATGGGCTGTTCATTCCCTATATCAGGTTAGTTTTAAAAAGCACCCTAATTGTTCTTTTCCAGAAACGCATGGCAATCTTACTCCCAGAATATTCACTTCATCAAGTGAAATATCAATTCATGCAATTTTAGAGAATTAGTCCACCCTTTATTTAGTTGCAATGCAAGCAGCTTTCTCTTAGCACATCTAGCATCGGAGACCCCATGATGTACAGAACTGTCTTTGAATGCTGGTGTGTCCTCAGGAAGTGAAAAGGCAGCTCAGAACAGAGAAAACTCCTGAAACTTTTGTACCTTTTCAGAGATATGAATATTAGGTTTCATCCAAACAGAAGCAGTGCTGCTTAATGTTCTATAACTGCAGACTTATGGGTTTAATTAGAACTGTAGAGGCTCATAGCTGGGGAAAAATAAGCTTTTTATATATATATATATAAATCTTCTTACAAACAAGTGTTTGGATGATTTCTAAAGGTTTTTTTTTTTAAAGCAAGCTACCTGAGCTACTTTTTAAATGTCATGTATGTACAAGATTTGTTTTAATTTTGGGAAGAGTTTAGTTACTTAGTGCAAACACATTATGGCTATTTCTCATATAAAAATAAATATAGCAAAAAAATATGACAGATATAAGACAAAAGGAAAAGGGGAATTTAAAATATGCTGAAGTTCATCTACTATTGGGTGAACCTATGCTTAGGGTTAGGGCTAGGGCTCTTTTCAGAATCAAGAACGCTAGAATTAAGATGTCTAAAAGTGTGCCATACCATGCTGTTCCAAAAACATAGTGTAACAAAACCCAGGTTGTTTTTAAACAAGGCAAAGAATTTTAAATACCAGTGGCTCCCAAGAGGTTTTCAAGATTTCTTGGTACAGTATGATTTCTCAAAAGGAAATATGATAATGGTTTGTAAAACCATTTAATATGAAGCTTTAAATGTAATCCTGAATGGTCTGCACAGTTTTAGCATTAAATATTAAAACTGTATATAAGAAAAAATAGGTGAACTGCAGCACAAACTCATTGCATTTCCACAGAATTTGATCTGACTGTAAAATGCAAACCAGGGTTAACAGTCACCACTTTTTACTGAATAAGAATTATCTTTCTACCAAAGGTACATACACTTACTTCAGGCTACGTACTCTTCGTATCAAGCAAATCAGTCTTTACGCACTAAGGTTGGGGCAATTCTGCATTTTATTATAAAAGACACCAAATTAGAATACTGCAACTGCATATATATTAGCTAATTTGGCTTCACTGTTAAGTAGAGAACCAAAGACATTATAATTGCTTAATTACAATGGGAAGGAAATTAAACCCAGCAACACCTTCTGCTAGAAGGAAAAATGGGGGAAGTAATTTTATCTGATTTTCTTTTCCTCCTGAACCTGAATTTGCCACCTCCTCTTATTATTTAAAGGCCTCAACTCTTCAGAGCTCTTCCTCAAGAGACCACAGCAAGCATTGAAGAAAAATGCCACTGCTCCACATTCCATTAATAAGAAAGTCTAGAACATATCTGGATGTTGGAGGGGGCAGAAAAGAGAGGAAATGGCTCAGCAACATTCACTTGAATGGAAGTTCAGCTGCCAGTGCAATAAAGACCCTGCTTCTTCCTGAATTGTACTGATAGCTGTACTTCTGCTCAAGCAAATGGAAGTTCAGCTTCCTTTCAGATTCAGGCAAATATCTGAAGGGGTCTTTTCATTAACAGAAAACTAGTCTTACTCTAGAATCAAGACTCTCACATTTTGAGATACTCTTCTTTACTGAAAGAAAATCCCTTTATTCTTTGTTAAAAACACACTGAAATACCTTTGTGAACAGTACAAAATTATGACAGAAGTTAGCATATTAAGCTTTGCTGGGGTGGAGTTTTTGAGAACTTTGTCTTCTACATCAGATAGCATTTTTATTCTGTTGGTATCCTCCATATTACGTCATAGAGTTCTCTAATACTGCCTGCAATTATATCATCTTAAAACCTTTCAGCAACAAATAACTCTAGTGTCTACTTGACTTGTGTCCACTCCCAAAATGTTGTTTCAGAAATGTTCTAATAGTAAAGAACAGAAAAATCCCCAACAAGTAGGGTGAAATACATTTCTCCATGTAGCTGTTAACTTTTTCAAGTAATTTTTTTTTACTCTGAAGCAAATCAAGAAACACCTCAATTATTAGCAATTTCATTGCTATGAAAGCGAAAATGAGAGAACAATTATTAACTTCCAGCACTAAAATGAAGGTGTGGCATAAATTAATTCTATATAGTTTTTGCCAACATAAGCAAGTTATTCAAACACTTTTTAAGTGCCTAAATCCCTCTATTGCTAATCTGAAGAATCTTGCAAATGCTAATCATTTGAGTTTTCTGTTTTTTTCCCCCAACCACACAACTCGAACAAACCCAGATATATTTCAATGTTTCTGTTACCATATTACTTGCCCAATACAGTAAAGTTAGAAAAGACGCTCTTTCAAGCACATACAGCTCTGAAGGCTATTGTTTCATTTACTGATTAGCACCAGCTTGAAAGGGACTGCCAAAGGCTAGGATTTGCAGTTCCAATATCAGCCAGTCACGGCCCAACCAGGGCAGTTCTTCCATGAAACACAGGAAATACAGAAATATATACACCCATGCACATTCAAGGGGGAAAAAATGTTCTACAAATGGCAGTATTTGGAAAATAATGCCTTCAAAAAGAATAAAAACTTTAAAAAGTTAAAATATACATATATGTATATATTATTTGAAATGATGAAAATGAAGGGTTCTGGAGTGTTACAAATCATAGGTGTCCAAGTCCATCTGCTCTAACAAAGCCTGCTCTTTTCATTTAACCAATCAGCCATCTGCACTTTCCCAAGGAATTTTATGAATGTAGTATAGCTTATAGCATTTTTTTTTCTTTTTTTCCTGTAGAAAGAAAGTCAACCCATACGTAAGATCTTCTCCACTTGTTAATAATAGGTGATCTTGTGGTCTTCTCTCATACTATGCTTTCATAAGCTTCGGAAGAAGTTTTTAAATCCTCTAGCTTGATCCTCTCCACTGCAGATAAAATTATTTGAGTAGCTCAACAGAGAACAAAAACAAAAAACAATTAAAAAAAAAACCTCTGGATAACAGAAGATTAACTGCTGAAGTTCAAAGAAAGGGGTGGAATGGCCCTTTCTTATCTGAAGCAGTTTGTCTCTCAACTATGCCCTGAGTTCCTCAGGTTTGCGGCTCCTGTGCATTAGGCAAAAGTTCTTAACTCTTTGTGCTCAGGCAAAGGGACATTCTTCACAGGGGCTGTCAAACTGGCTTTCCCACCTCCACGCCAGGCAGTTGCAGGTTCTTTTCTGTTTCAAGCAATTCATCCAATATATCCCTAGAGAACAGAACAGATGTTCACATTAGGAACCAAAGAGAGTCCATACAAGGCAACTAAGGCACATGATGTACCCAAGATACCCAGTGGACTTAAAGGAATGCTTTAAAAGAAATGATACAGAGATTCTACACAATACAATACAATCTGGCCTCTTATACTGTCCCAGAGAGGCTCATAAGAATGTTCTTTACAAAATCTCTAGGGCTATTTGTTCTTACTTATCCAGAGATCCAAGATGCACTATTCATGCCTTCACACAAATCCACAGTACAAGATGCCTGTGTTAACCATATCCTCCCTGCAAGGGCTGTAACACTCAGTTTCCTACAGTTCTCATGCTGAAAAGCCATACAAGAACTAGGAAATGGGGAAGCAAGAGCACTTTTCATCTTGTCATAGTGATGGCAATGAAATAGAACATGCAAAGAGAAGGCGCTACATGGGGAAACACATAAATAATATTTACTTGTGCATATAGAAGAAGATATAGCCACTGCGGTCTCTATCGCTCTGCACAGAGGCCTCTTGAGTTCTTGATACTGCCAGGTCATTGTATGTGAACCATGCCTGCTTGCGAATATCATATACATCACTAATATAGTGACCTTAAAAATAATGGAATAGACAAAGAGAATTATTTCTTTATTCATTCATTCAATTTGTAAGGCTGCCCATCTCTGACTGACTCTGAGAGGCGAACAATCTTAAATTAAAAACAATTTCCATCAAAAATATAAAAATTAAAATACACAGCAGCCGAGGAAGATATCACTATTGACAGTCACTAGCACAACAGGAGATGGGACCCTTCACACACTTGGGGCCCCAGGCCCAGGCAAAGAACCAGGTCTTTAGGGCCTTACGAAAGGCCAGCAGGGTCAGGGCCATCCTAATCTCTGGAGGGAGGATGTTCCACAAGGCAGGTGCTATGGCAGAAAAGGTACGCCTCCTGCAATATTCAGGCTTCTGATGTCTTTCATGCAGAAATGTACAAGCCAGAGAATCAAAGAAATGACATCTTCTGCAGACAAATCTGCTTTATTATTTTAAATGTGACTAATTTCTCTTTTACTACACTTCAAAATCTTTTTATATGCTGGATTTATTGATCAATAAATGTAAAATTGTTTAATGGCATCCCTCACTTTGTAAACTTGTATGGAAACTGCATTTAGTCATAATAGTAATATTTTCTAATTGTTGACTGTTTTGAATATTATTGTTTTATAGTTTTTTATTATATGCTGCCCAGAGTCACATTTTGTGAGATGGGCAGCCATATAAATATGATGAGTGAGTGAGTGAGTGAATGAATGAATGAGTCAAGCTTACAAAATTAATTATTTATATTAGATTTCCTTCTTCATCTTGAATTCTGGTTACTGAAAAGGTCCCCAAAACACAACTTAGAAGAACAATAAGAAGGATCAGAAACGCAGCTTTTTTCTTACCTGAGGAGGATGTATCTCCAATATGACTGACAATACTAATGAGACGATATGAATTAGGAAGCTCTCCTGTCTGTGAAAGAATCATGTTATTATTTTGTTTCTGAATAGATCAGGCATATAACTTTATCAGAGACTTTTTAGCAAAGTTAGGGCATGCTATATCAAACACCAGAATAATTCATTTCAAATTTGTATATTTACTCAAATCAGGCTTTATAGAAATAATTGCATTTTTAAAAATCAGTTAAATAATTCATCAAAATGGGATCCACAAAAGCCTTATATCCCAAATTGAACCACGATCACCAGATCAAAACGACTGTCAATTTTTTCCTTAGTCCATACTACAAAAGCAAATAAATGTTTGTTATTAGTACACAAATATATCACTGCTAAATACATATTAATTTCCATTGTGTTATTAAAATATACTGAGTACTAACTGGGATGGGCTCGGAATAAATTATTTATTTATTTAAGCTCTAACTGAGGTTTCCTAAAGAAAATAGCATCTCTTTCAGAACTAGCATTCTTCATTTCATGTGTTAAAATCCAAATGCATCTTAGAATTTCAATAGACAAACTTCCCTTAGTGTCACATTCCAGAATTCCATGTGGAACAGGATGGAAGTCTTTCTGTGCATTAGGTGGTCTCGGTTTACACCTGGAATGGAGCTGTGAGGTCTCTTTATCTGACAGCCAGCGCCATCCTCTTATTACAGCAATTAGAAGCTTCTAGTGTGCCTTGGAAATTTTTAGGGCGACATTAGAGAATATACAACAAGGAAAACTTAATTCCTCCCTATGCGCTGTGACAGCCCCCCTCCCCCAAATTTGCTTCCCCATGGCAATTTGCTGTGTGGATAAATGTTTAGAGAGTTGCAACTGAAGATAGAAAGTTGGTAATTCTGGCTCTTCTTTTTTGCTATACAGTAATGGACAGCTGTTGTCACAATGCTCTACAGTAGTATTAACATTTGAGTTTTGTAAATGAAAGATTTATTTTATTTATTTCATCATATTTATATAGCCGCCCACCTCACAGACAAATGACTTTTATAATTATGGAATTATAAAAATCTTTTCCTTGTAGCAAAAATAACAAATTTCTGAAATCATGAAGAATAAATTCAAAATAGGAATTTAACATGATACTGGAGACACCTTATGACTGCTTCTTCAGTAAGAAGCTATATCACTAATATTACTACTGAGTCAAAGATAATCAGTTTGTTATTCGGTAAGTGAAGGGGTTATTACAACCCTAAAGGAAGACATCTAACATGAGAGTAAGCACCTTTGGACGAATGTATTAAAGGGCTGCACTACCATGAAGCAAATTAAAGGTCTTTGCATAGGTAATAAATCCAGGATGGTGCCATCCCCTTGTCACTGCCCATTCCTCCTACTCATGAGAAAGGTAGGAAATATACACCTTTGGTATAGTCTCTCAACTGCTATGCAACTGTGGTTCTCTCTCCCTTTGCAAGGTGTAACTCTGGCAATAGTACATGGGTAGACAAAAAAAAGAAAAGAAAAGAAAAAAAAAGAATGAAGGATATATAAAAAGGTGAGAAACAGATCACATAATTTCACCCAGAATTGTTGAGAGCTGGGTGGGATACAAGTTTAATAAAATGTTGTTGTTGTTGTTATCTCCTACCAGGTGCATCAGTGGTGAGAACACAACATTGGCAAGTAAGCCTTGAGGGAAATGGACCCTAGAAACCAACTGATGTGTTCCTTACTATTGCACTACTCTCATTATAGCAGCAGCTCAGGGAGGGGGAAAGATGGGACAAGACGACCCTCTGCCAAGGCTCCATTTCCACCCCCCACCATACATGCACAAATGCACTGTTTGTCCTTTGAGGTAGGCCAGACCAGGAAACTGAAGTTTCTACAGTAACAGAACCTTGAAAGCCTGTGTTTTTCCTTCCATCCTTCTTGTACCTATGGGAGTTAGGGCAGAGCCAGTGATTTTCTTCCTAATTTTTTGTTTTCTGGGCTTAAACCATGTTTGTGTTCATGTTGTAACCATCTTTGCACATGTTTCTGCAATGTCACCTCTGTGATTCTCTACATGCATCAACTAGCTGCCAACAGAAAGTGGATCTGTATATTTCCAAAACAATAGAGCCAAATTATTTAGTTAGAATTTGTGGTAGGTTTTGGCTAGGAAAGGAAATAACCTAGCTGATTCACTTTTGCTTCTTAGAGATGTTATCTGAATATGGAAGTCTAAGCTTTCACGTTCACAATTTAGGGAAGCTGGGATGTGGTAGGTTTTAGCTGCATATACTGAGCTTTCTCTTAGCTTCAGTCGGGGTTCAGCAATAAGTCACCCAACATCACCTTCCTCTCCTGCTATGCTCAGCATCAATACTAACTGCTTTCGGAACTCACCCCAATAGGCTGTGCAACACCAGAGATATAACCTACAAATCTTTAAAAAGGTTCACCACTGAAAAACATGGAAGAATAGGAAAGAAGCACAAGAGGCAGATAATTCAAATCCTATGTCTGTTTATCTGAAAGTCTCACAGACATCAATGGGACTGACTTCTAATTATTCATGAATAGCATGGCTACCCACAGTTAATTCTATTTTCCCATCACAGTCTAATTTATTCTACTCATTTATTTCTAAATGAGTTAAGTCTCCCTAGGACAAGTGCTCTAAGAGCAAAATATATGAAAAGCAAATAAAATAAGACTAAAATGTCTTAAGATTAAAAACACAAAATGTATAGCAGCAGAAATTTCTAAGACCAAAAAAAAAAAAAAAAAGGCAAAGGTTTATGAACCTCTCAAGGGAGGGTGACCTGGAGGATACTAGGAAGAAAGTCCCCTTGCAAATTGCTATGCCAGTGTGCAAGACCCTCATCAGTCTTCAACTGATTGCCAGTGAAAATTTAAAAATAGTGGTATAATACGACCCACTGACCCTGAGTCAATACTATAGCCATCATAGTTTACATTAATTAAAGTTTCTGTTCTGTCCACAAGGACAATCCCATATACAATGTGGTGCGATAAGTGAAAGAGTGCAAGGTTGTGAATCGCTGAAGCCAAGCTATCCTTATCCAGGCAAATCTAACTAACTGATAAAAGTCACTTCATGTTTCCAATGAATGTTTCCATGTTTTCTCCAATTCTAGTTATTAGGACTACAATCCTTTCAGCGTGAAAAACAGGACAGCTGAGGATGGCTTTTTACAAACACAGCTAGATGTGGAACACGCTGACATAACAGGTATTGCACTTAACTTGTAAGCCTTACAACTTCTGCAAAACCAAGATTTTTTTCCCCTCAGGGAAGAATGAAATTTGGTCAGGTTTTGATAGTTTGCTTTGCAGTTTGTTGGGCTTCGGGAAAACACATTTGCGGTTTCACTTTAGGAAGCAAATTGTTTTTGGCCTGCCCTGAGGCAGAGATTTGAACCCACATCTCCAAGGACTGATATTACCCATAATCCACTGTCACTCACTGTTGGTCACAACTGAGAAAGCTTAATAAAGATGACCCAGTGTGCCATATTATACAGACTGAACTATCCAAGCCATGAAACCTCCCTTAAGCATTCACCACCTATAAAAAAGGCAAGTGGACATCCCCTGGTTTTCCAGATCATCACCTCAGCATTTCTTTTCAGTTCCTCAGCTTCTGCTTCAGAGTACTCCATGTCTAGAAAATCCTCATTCCCAGAGTCCTCATCAGAGCCAAGACTATCCAGGAGAGAGCTGTTAAACTCTAAACAGCATGAAAAGGATACTGTGTTAGATTCCTGATGATGTGCATAAAATAGAGATGACAAAACTTTACAGTCCAAAACTTTCTTTCCAAAAATGCACTTTTTAAATGTTTTTGCACTAGTTAAAAAGTAAGGTGCTACCAAAGTAACAACTGACTTTACTATGCATCAATGAAAAAATACATGGCACATTACTTGAAGAAACAGAAAATTTACAGTAAGTTCTTGTAGAACACCTTAACTTAAAAGAGTTTCAGTAAATTATCACAGTAAAATACATAAAATATTTTGAAGAAATTGCAACTCATCTCCTACTGTTCTACTTTGGCACCATGACTGGACAAAAATGCACAACTCTTGCTATTTTTTACAACTTGCTCTGCAGATCATCAAACCTGAGATGACTCTCAGGAAATTAAATCTACAATTCAGAGAACCAATAATCCTTTTAGCAGAAACCTCTTATTCTCAATTTTTCACAAATTAGGAAATCTGTGGCAGACTTGCTTGCTGTAACCTGGGTTAGGATTTATGAAATAGAGTAGAGCATGCTAACAAGACACAGTCAAATTGTGGTTAAGGGAATAAAACAGATGGGAGAAGGAGCCATAGAAAACTGCTGGGACTCTGTATTCTGCTAGTTTACAGGGCTGCCAGCACCATATCCACTTCACGCTAATGGCTAAAACTTTAACTACTTTATTTTATAGTTTCCCTATATAACGTTTACTGCTAGTCAAGTACTTTTTGCTATTCAATTATATGTGGCTTCATGTACGTGTGATATTACATATCACTGAAGTTGTATGTACCATCACCTTTACAAAAGGTAGAACCATTTAGTCCTTTAAAATAAAAATAATGTCATAGAGATTTACTGAAAAGCTGTAAAAAATTACTTTCTGAGAATATTTGGGGATTACTCAAAGTCACCTATATCTACTTTTCAAACAGAGAGGAATGGCGACATGCTGTGTATGCAGAGCTGTCCACTAGAATTTACTTATACTGGATTACAAAAGCAAATCTCACTCTTTTCTCTGGACAATTACATTATGCTCTTAAAAGATGTCTTTATTTTCTGTTGTGTATCTCACCTTGTAGACTTAATTCCGTGGCACGTTTAAGATCATCATCCTCTTTCTGCTCCCGCGCCTCCTGCTGGGGTAGAGAGTCAAGCTTAGTTCCCTGAAACACTTCCTGTTTTTATGACTGCTGTTTTTCCCACTGACACTGCTTGAGGTTAGTAAGCAACACAGCAAGTCCCTAATCTCACAACATGCTCTCTACAATTTTTTCTTTCAAAAGTTGTTCAGTGAATGTGAACTACTTCCCAAGCAAAGCACAAGAACAAAAACGTTCTCCATGTAGCAAAATGTATCGTACTCTTTACTTAAATCTAGCTGAGGACGCATGCCTGAATAAACAGTATGGGAGGAATGGCCTTCATTTAGAAAAAAACCGAATATCAAGGCTTGCATATTCGTAGCTTTTGTAGCTTCTTTCACTGCTAAACAATACAATAAATGGGCAAACACATTTGAAGGTTTTTGTTCCTTCTTAACCTCATCAGTTACAATTCACGTAACATGTCCACTTAGTTTCTTTATGCATTTGTAAATATTTATGGAAGGATATAAATGAAATCTTTTAAGCAACTAGTGAATGAGATGAAGGATGCCTCAGAAGGGCTCTGCTCTATTTTTTACCGTACTTTGAGAGGTAGCTTATTAGTATTCATAATGGGGTCTTTCAAGCTGTGTAAATTCCTCACTGAAGAGGCACCTTTGACATAGTCCCATCTTTCTTTCCAATACAAAAATTGTTCTCTCATACACCTTTTAGTTATTAACTGTTCCCAGTTTTGACTGTTGATACTATTTTTTTTTTTTTACAAACATTTATATTCTGCCTACTCTTGATTCTAGGCCCCTTGTAATTTAGAAGCAATAAAATCATGACATCTGTTCATAAAACTGATGAATTAAAAACAAAACTATTAAAAACTATAAATAAACTCATAGCTGCTGTTAAAGAAGTCCAACTGCTCTTTAAAAAGATTGCTTTTGTCATTTTCTAGGACAGAGTAGGGTCATACCTAACTTTGGGGAACAGGCAGTTTCAGAGCAAGAGAACTACCACAGAGAAAGTCTGTCTCCAGGTCCCAGCTCAATTTCTTTCAGGGTGGATACCCAAACCATCCCCTCCTTATTAGACCATGTAGGTCAGAGCTCAAGCTGTACCCGCACCTTGGAGTGGGCCTGGAAGCTTACTGTGCCTGTTACAGTTTCTGAGTCATCTTTAAGGGCAGCCCATGTAAAGTGAATTGCACTAGTCTGAGATGACAAAGGCACAAGTTAATGTCTTCAGTGCCTTCTGGTTCAGGAAAGGGCACAACTGGTGGACCCACTGAAGCTGGTAAAAGGCTGTTCTGTCCACAGGTTCCATCTGCTGTTCCAGTAGAAGCCATGAGTCCAGGAGATCCTCAGACTGCGCATCACCTCCTTCAGGAGAAGTGCTATCCATCAAAAATTACAGAAGGGACGTCCATGGCATCAAAAAGTTTCTGAACTAGCTCCGACTTGCTGACAATAGTTGTAGGCTGTTCCCCCCCCCCCACTCAACCCAGTTTTTTGCAGCCTCTAGGCACTGGGTCAGACCTTCTACTGCATCTCCTGTTCAGCCTTTAAATAATAAACCTGGGTATTATTATAATACTTAACTCCAAAGAGACAGATGATTTATCCCAGCTGTTTCAGATAGATGCTAAATAATATGGGAGAGAGGACCTATTAATGCCTGTTGATTTATTTTGTAATTACATTGCTTTTTATTTATATTTTTGGACTTTTTGTACATGCTTTGAGGGTCTTTGGGGCATAAAGTAATATATAAATTAACAAACAAAAATCTCATCCAAAGGAGGATGATTATAGTAAAATGAAAAATAGCTCAATTATGGATATCATGTCAGAGAAGACAACAAAAGCAAAACTTTCCAAAAACAATTCTCAACTCTAGAGCTTTTTTTCCAGGAGATAATTTAGAAGAAAGGAGATTCCAACATGGGATGAATACCTATAGTCATTTAAATATGGATTCTTGAATACTAAACTATTAAATGAGGAGAAACCATTGACTCAAGATGGGTTATTATATTTTCAGCTGCCCTAGGATCATGGAAAAAGAACCCATGTTCTCTTCCTACCTAGTAATAAAAAAATGTTTTCAACAAAGATGAGAAAGGTCACCAGGGAATTTATGTAGGAATAATAACTTTTGAAAGACCATAAGAAAATAGAATAAGTAGAAACAAAATGGAAAAATATTATAGAAGGACACATCTGATGGACAATGTCCCCAGTAGACTGCTGAATCCAAATATGCTAAAATTGCTGTTTTAAAAAATGCACTAAATTCAGTAAGACATATCTTTGCTATAAGATCTCTGTAAAAACCTTGCTCATAAAAGCACATTTCGAAGTTTGCAATTATGAAACAGAATTATGCAGTGCCATATTATAAAGGGAGTTAAAAAGAATTCTCCCCTAGAGATACTGAGATAGCCACACATCATTTTTTATCACCGTGAAGGGTGTACCGGCTCTTACTTGTTCCTGGAGGCTCTGAGCCAAAGCCTGCTGCAATTCTTGCTCCTCCCTCTCCCTCTCCATATCGTACTGTTGCAACCAATCAGCTTCCCCCTGAGTGCCTTCTGGAGTTTTGTTTTCTTTATTTTCATCATAATCTTTAGTTATCTCGGTGAAGTTGACAAAACCTATGGAAACAAAATGGTGTCTAAATTTGTTTGCAGGAGGAGCTGTGGGGGGGCTGCTGACTGAATGGCAATTGGGGAAATTAAGGATGGGTAACCCTTTAATAACCACCACGTTCGATAGGGACGTATGTGAAGGTGACCACAGAACCCTATCACACATGTGAACAAGAGTCATGTAAACGAGTGAACACGTAAATAAGAGTAGGGATTATTTTTTGTGTGATGTCCCTATTTATGTTCTCACATTAATGTTTATATCTTCCTTATCTCATAATAGGAGGAAACTATGCTGACAGTTTTCAACAGAAAAAGAAAGAACCTGAGAGCTACCTGCAGCCCTAGGACAACAGACTGCCTATCCCTGAGCTAAATCTTTTTCATGCCACTCAGATCTCAACAGCAAAATGAATCTATTAGTTTGTGATTATTTTGGAAAAGATAGGATGTGGGGGAAGGGAAAGAACTGCTTTCAGTACTGATTTAATGTTTTCCAACTGATTAAGTCTTTAGTGTGTGTAATTTAAACACTGAAACACCAGAATATGATGGAAATCAAGACGTGAAATTTATCCCCAATTTTTACTCCTGCCTTTCCCAATTCTGACTTAACATTCTAGCCACATTTTTAAAGAGATTCCTACAATAAAAAAGACAGTTTTACTTCATTTTCCAACTTGAGTTGTATTTTTATTCATTACTCATTATGGATTCTATAAGGAAATATTCTGGGCATAAGCTTCACTGCATATTTTAAGATACAAGGCATTACGACCTAACAGTTCAATCTTTTTAAAAATGTAATTTAATACATTTTAATTGTAAATTGTAAAATGTAATTTAATTGTAATTTTACCTCAATAAAAATGGACTCAAAATAGTTTTGTCCAAATATTGGTGGCACGACTCTTTGCTTTTCTTCCCTCCCCCAAATAAAGATGGGATTAGAGCATAATAGTTCGGGGAGGTGGACCATCCCCACTCCAATTCTTAATACCTGTCTCACAACTCTAAAAATGAAATGAAATTGAAGCACTGAAATGAGATGCGTACTCAACAGACTTTCAGCAATGTGATTTTGAGGTTAAAAAAAAGTATGGAAATAAGAACAGGAATGGGAGTGGGAGGTGTTTGGGAGATGAACTGTTTAATTTCCATCCTAGTCTCCCTCATCACCATCCCCAAAATAACAATAAAGCAAGCAGACAAAACCAAATAATCCTGTCCATTCTGTAATGTCACCAGGTCAACAGATGGCTTTTTATAAGCCTACTGGCTAGTCAGAAAACTGAAGAGAAGAGCAGCCTTCGACTTAGTTACTCGCCATCCCACTCTGTACACTGTCACTCAAACTCCAGACTTTTATTGCTGTTCCCACTCTTACCAGACTCTGTAGCAGCTTTGGGTTTATCAGCATCCTTAAGTTCCATATTCTCTGGCAACTCTTGCATCTCATCATCTCCAAAACCAGTGTCTGGACTATTTGTGGGCTTGTCTTCATCGTGGCTTGACAGCGATGCTTCACGTTTACTAATCTCCAGGACAGCCGCCAGAAGTTCATCTTCACTCATTGTTTCAAGTCCACTATTTACTGACTCTGGAGACTTGTTATTTTCCGTTTTATTTTTCTTTGAGCCCTGTAGATAAATAACAGACAAAACTGAGATCTGTCTGTCTACCTACCTACCTATCTATCCTCCCTCAGGGTACTACCATGGAAGTAAAAATGAACTAGACATTCTGAACATACAACCCCAAATTTAACATTGTTTTCATATACAGAAATGTTCTGACATCACCAGAGAAAAGACTGGCTTTGAATGCTGAGGATACTTAAACCATGTTAAATAAATAAACAAACAAACAAATCAAACAAATAAAACAAATAAAAACTTCAGCCCTGCTCCTCCTAAGGACATTACTATACAATTGCTATATCCTCTGCAGCCACTGGAGGCCACTCTTTTTTAAAGTAAAAAAATATGTAATTGCCACAAAAAAAGTTATCTAGCCACAATACATGCTTCTTCTACCAAGCTCTTTCCTTACTTTCTCAAGCTCCTCTTGCTGCTGTTCTCTGCTCTGGAAATCACACTGTTTCTGACTGTTTGCCACAGGACGTTTCAATGGTTCATCTTCACTGTCTGAATCCAAAGAATTTAAAATGGGACTTTTATACTTGAACGAGTATTTTCTGAAAAAGAAACAAAGAATTTTAATTTGCCACTTTTTAAAAAAAAAAAAAAACTTCTAATGGGGCTGATTGACATCATCTTACAAAAACATTCACAGAATAGCTAAGCCGATGACAAACTGTAATACCAGGAATATAGTACAAGGATTTATTCAAACAGTAACCCTCTGCAAACTCAATTCAAAACACTACCTCAATCTAACATTCAGAAAATTCTTTATGGTAAAGAATTAATATTCCTGGGACTCTTGAGCAGAAAAATGAATTGTTACAAATTTGGGCTCAAGGTCATATTCACTGGTAAATAGGCCTTTTTTTAAAAAAGAGACATTTTATAATAGGTCAGCAACTTTGAACTGGACCCTATATATATTACGTAGAATGTTTCATGCAAAACTTCATTTCATAGTAGAATATATAATGCTCTCAAATATTTAACATATTTTTAAATATTAAACCTGTATGCACTATATTTTTCTCAGTTCCGGTAAAGAAAAACGAATATGTTTTCATAAAGCTACCAAGTGATCTGTCCAGAGTAATCAGTGCCTTAGCAATGCATTGCCTTGGGAGAAGCTTTGCTGGATCAGACTACAGTAGTCCTCGCTTAACAACCATTCGTTCAGTGACCGTTCAAAGTTATGACAGCACTGAACAAATGGTAGTTACAACCAGTTCTCAAATTATGACCGTCACACCACCCCCGTGGTCATGTAATCAAAATTCAGGTGCTCGGCAGCCTGATCACATTTACGACTGCAGCATGCACTTCAACTCCCTCCACCCCCCATCTCCCCCTTGCCCTTTTGGCTGCCCTGCACTCTGCCGTCCTTGCCATCCTGCACTCCCCCCTGCAACCCTGGCTGACCTTCACTGTCTTCCTCCCGCTGCTGAGGCATGCCCGGCCAAGGCAATCACTGGCCCTTCATGATGCCTCATGCCTTGCACTCCGCCACCCCACCAACTCCTGCTGCTCCCAGACGTTCTTCATTGTCTTCCTCCTCACGCATTGCAAAGGGCCAGCAGCTGCCTCAGCCAAGCACACCTCATCAGCAGTGAGAGGAAGAAAATAGCAAAGGTCAGCCAGGGGTGGCAGCAGCAGAGTACAGGGCAACCAAAAGGGCAGAGAAGGGCGGAGAGATAGGTGGGTGGGGGAAGCTGAAGTGGAGGCAAGTGTAGCATGGCGGTGGAGCCTTGTCTGCCGAAGGGAGCTTGCCGGGCCTGGCTGGGGAAAAGGCAGCAGGACAGAGCTGGCAGTTCACACAGGGGAGGAGAAACATGAGGTCCTCGCCTAATGACCACAACTGGGACTACCAGAACTGCCGTCACTATGCGATGCACTCACGTGATGTTTTGCCTGACGACCGCTTCGCTTAGGGATGGAAATTCCAGCCCCTTTAAGGTAGATAATAGGACATTTGGAATTGAGCAGCAGAAGACAGAATTTGAAGTTGAATTATGTACAAATGATGAACATGTAATTGCTAAAATATATAAGCTTTTACTGAAATTTGAAATAGAAGAAGTAAAAGACTATGTGATAAAATGGGATAAGAACTTTGGACACAATATACTGATCGAATAGTGGGAAAATATGTGGTTAAAAGGACTGAAATTTACATTATAAATAGAAGAAGTAAAAGACTATGTGATAAAATGGGATAAGAACTTTGGACACAATATACTGATCGAATAGTGGGAAAATATGTGGTTAAAAGGACTGAAATTTACATTATGTTATAACCTAAAAGAGAATTTTTATAAAATGATGTACTGTATATGACTCCAGAAAATTGTCAAGAATGTATAAAGGTACTTCAAATTTATGTTGGAAATGTGGACATGGGCTTCTGGGTGAGGACCTATGGCGGGTTAGACAACCCTGCGAGCATCTGTGAGCCAAGACACTGTGGCAAAGATCGTGTGCTAGGCAGTATGTTCTGGCCAACAAAATTCTCTCCAGAGAAGGAGAGATTGAGAAATTGCCGACTTGTGCTCTGGAGAGTTGCTTCTCATGAGAAGACCACAGGAATTGAGTTTCTTGCGGTTGATCATGGGTTGAGCAGCTGGGAGCTGAGGGATTACAATTGCTTCAAACTGCTGTGCAGCCTTTACTGGCACTTGACCCACAAAAGTCTCACTTTCTTAAACACTTTTGGGTATAATTAATTAACAACTTAAGAGAGTTCTTCTGACTGGCAGGAAAGAATAAAGACACTTGTTGAGTTGCCTTCTTTCTGGACTTAAGAAAAGAAAAAAAATACTATCTTAAAGGATTTTGACTTAAAAGCAAAAAGCTTAACAAGATTTTGATTTAAGAAGTTTTAAACGGATAAAAGGGACAGTTAATTTAGAAAACAGAATATTTTTTTTTCTTTGATGAAAGTACCTTTGAAAATAATAAAATTAACTAGACAAACAGACTGGACCTTTTTGGGAATGTTGATTATTATTAAGGAAAGTAGTTACCATATTTTTCCGTCAATAAGATGCCCCCATGTACAAGACGACCCCCACTTTTCCAACC